TTGAAAAAGAACTCTAAAATACGAGGTGTGCTCAAATAAAATGTCTGCTATTACCAACGTACTTTGATCATGTATGGAAATATGTTATATTATTTTAAGTAATCCACGGAAATTTTTTTCAACTTTTATTTGTTACTTTTCGGTAGAAATCTGCATGGTATCGGTAGATCGGTAGGTCTCTTGACAAATCGGTAGATCTACCGAAAAATCGGTAAACCTGGCTTCTCTGGAGCCATGCATCGACGAAGGCCACGCACTCCAAGCAGCCAAGCCGCAGGATAACGCCCTAGTATACTTGCCTACGTGTTAGCACTGTTGTGTTGCCAGATCAAACCTTAATTCTTAAAACTTCAGAAAAACTATTTGGAATACACTATTAACCTGTTCGCCTATTTTTTGTTTATTTTTTTGCCATAGGTTTGCAGACCTCCAAAAATCATGCCAAAACACTGGTTTGGGAAACACTGCTCTACTGTCTTGATCCGAAAAATTGTTTGATCGCTCTGCACAGTATATTCGAGTGCAATTTACATGGTCAGAAATAAGGTCCACCTCAAATTTTACCTGGGTCTTATTTCTTTCATGCAACTTTCGCAGTCAGGCCTTGTCATAAAAAACAGATACATTCGTTTTTATTTTTGTTTATGTATCAACTCTTAAAAATACTACTTATCAAGAGTAATAAAGGTATACTTGCCAAAGTAAGATATTAATGTTAAAAACAACTTTCTTCCGAGTAACAGTTATAACGTGAATCAATGAATAGCATGTGCGCATCTACCTGCAACTTTCTCATAATGACAAAAACACCATTGAGTTATGATATTATATTTGCCCGACTAATAGTGGCGAAAGGGTTTTGGTCGGTAAACAGCTGAGCTGCAGTTTCACACAACCCAGAGCGCTTGCCGATCTGGATAGAGAGTAAGAAAGCATTTCCCAAGGCTTGCCGGCAGAAAAACATATGAATATAAAATGTTATTATTTGAGATTTACATTTTTTATTTGTAAATATATCAATGTTATTTAAATGTAAATGCATAATTCGAAAATGTTAATTATTTGAAATATCCAGTAGGGTGTTAATAAAGTTCAGGAATCAAATTATGGGGGAATCAAATTATCAATTAAGGGCTGCAAAAGCTACTTTGTTTGTTAATATCTAATTTATTGTCAATTAAATAAAACTTATAACATTAAAAACTAACCTAACAATTTGACATTTATATTTGATACATACATTTATTGTTAAGCTATTGATGTAAATATCTGTATAAATTAAATTAGTTGCAATACTTCTAAAACTTATTTTATTATAAAATAGAGAAAACATCGATTCAACAGTAATGATATGCTTTATTTCAACAAATTTATGTGCTTTTAAGTCGTTTTAGTCCGAACCAAAAACCACCTACTGGTGTTGGAGTGAATGTTTTAACAGATAATTTCATAGGAACTGTAGTTATTTTGGTTGGTTCTATTTCAAAGTTTAACAGCAAGTGATAGAATAAAGCCTTAATTTCTAAAAGGGCAAATCTTGAGCCAATACAGTTTCTAGGACCAAGACCGAAAGGCATATATGTGTACGGTTTGATTTTGCTTTTATTTTCATCTGAAAATCTTTCCGGGTCGAATTTTGTGGGATTTTCGAAATTTTTCGGATCTCTATGATATCCAAATATTGGAATCGAAATTACATCGCCAATTTTTAAATTGACTGGCTTTTCATCGGCATTCACTGGTTCAATAGTGTAGGGTTGCGTAGCAACTCTGTCCGCTGTTGGTATAGGAGGCCACTTTCGTAAAACCTCTAAAAAGAAAAATATACCCAAACACATTAGTAAGAGAGAGTGATCGTAAAATATTAGGTTTAGCTGGTAACAGAAAACTTTTTATTAAGTTTAGTTATAATTTATTATTATTGTTATTGTTTCAGTTAACTTTAAATTTAATTGTTATAACTAAGACAAAATTTCATTTAAAATGGCGCTGTAAATTATCCATTTTGAGGAATATTTACCGGATATAACCTGATCCATATAGTTCATTTTCAGCAAAGATTCATAGGTTACTTTTCCGCCATTTAACCTGCGTGATTCAACAACTTCACTTCTCAGTTTATTCTGTATTTCCTTGTTAACTGCCAGTTCATATGAACCAAAACACATAACAATTGCAACAGAATCAAACCCGGCAAAGAAGAAAATCATTGCTTGGGAAGCTATATCATCATCTGTTAAATAAGTTGTCTTCTGTCGGCCTTTACCTACAAATTATATCAGTTTAAACATACAGAAATGTCATATTTAGGACACTGAAAATAGATGTGTATGTACAAGGTGTCCAAGTTAAGGATGCATTGCATGAAGATCTCCGAAACCGTAAGAGATACAAAGTCGGTTAAATTAAGAAAAAGCTCTGCAATCAGTTATGATTGCATTACGCATATGCCTGGCGTTTGCAAAAACAAGCATTCCTTTCAATTTTTGAGATATTAGAAAAAATATCATTATAGGATTTTCGTTTCTATTCATTTTTGAAGTTGTTTCAAAACTTATCAAGAAGCAAAAAATATTTTAGCATGGCACTTTTTGATATATCTATGATGCTGTTGACGACAAATTATTCCAACGCTTTGTTTCTTTGAAACCGTCATCAAATTTTATTTTTCTCTTGGACCCAAAAAAAGTGCAAAGCGTGTTAGATAGCGAATTCAACGATGTATAACAAAGAACGATTTCCAAAAACATTTTTCCATAAATTATGCCCATTTCACATGTATCATAACAAATATCCTGAAAGAAGGCAGCTTAATAGGTCAAACTTCAGACGTATGTCTTTCAACATAAAGAGTACGTGTAATTTACAGAACTCACTAAAATCAGATGAAAACCGTCCAATAAAGAAAAAGTTATACGGAAATCAAATAAACCTCTTGTAACCAGAAAAAAAACATTACTTTCTAACATCCAAAAGGTAACCGTCACTTTTTAAACACAGGTACGCTCTGCTAACCGTTAAATCTACAACCCTGGATAGTAAATTTGGAGTTATGGCATTAAATGCTTCGGTAAGTGCCCTCAAAATTTGGTCTTTATTGTCAAAATGTTGAACATAAGCTTGGTTTTTTCGTCAAGTCTGGCCATCGTGCTGGCCAGGAAACGTCACCGTAAGTTCCGATCGATCTTCCTGGAAAGTGTTGATACAGGTACCTACTCTGGAACTTGTCTGGCAAGAGGTCCTATTTCTGTGCCAAAAATTCCGAGCCATATGGTGGAACCAAATTGGTGTTGATGACTGGATTTTTTTTGCTTGTTTGGCACATTTTAAATTTATAAGGTTTAAAGCTATTTTTAATTAAAATTAATTGAGCGGTAAATTTGAGTACTCCAGTTTGACTTTCAATATCCCTTGCTCTGATATTTAAGGCTTTTTAACAACTGCTTGAATAACATGCTTTTTCTGTTCTTCATTGAAACGTATTTTTCAAGTTCAGGTGGGTCTATGAAAATAGTCTATAAAATATAAATGCAAATGATCCGTACCCTTTTAAGTTGAAAGCTAGACGACTAAAAACTAACCAATTAAGCTGTCTTCTTTTGATCAACTCCAATTTTTTTCAGAATTATTAATACCATATATTTAACAGGAATCGTTTATTAAAATCGTGGAGAGCTGCCACTATGTACAAATTTAGAGAGAATAAAAACGTTCACGAGTTAACCGGTTCTTCCAGCTGGTCGCGAGGTAGCCGGTTATTTCCCTCAGCCGTAGATAGAGATATTTATTTCATGGATCAACTGATATTTCCAAAGCTTAATTAAATGAAGTAAAAAAAGGAAATACAAACAAATGAAAGTTTTCCTTGCTTAAACGTCATTAATATTCCTGATACCCATAACTGCAGCACCCTAAACTTATATGCAGGTGCGCAGAAAATATAATATAAAATATACACCGTATGTACTAAAGTGATACATACCAGACTGTGTATATTCTTTGACAGTAGCAAAACCTGTTTCCATAAGAGCATCAGAATTTTCATATAGAATTCCCTTTCTTGCTTCTAATAATAAATTTAACATGTCCTGTCTAACGATTCCTTTTTCTTCTCGAACGTGAATGGTATCTTTAATAGTTTTAAAGAAAAACGATGATAGGTCTTTCTCAAATAGACCAACGTTCAGCAACTAAAACGAATAAACAGTAGATGCCTGCCCGTATATACAGGTTGATCCGCAAAAAATAAATCATAGTATAGATAAAGATTCTAGATGTAAAAATTATAAGATTTAATCAAACATGCCTTCGTAAATTATTTGCCGGATTTCGATAATTTAGGACGTTAAAGTTCCTATTTCAATTAAATTTTTTCTCGCAAAAACTTGGAATCTAATTCTATTTTTCAGGTATTTGCCAGAGGACGCTGCTGCATAAGCACTGCTGTTCGTTTATTCTTTACTAAAACTTTTTAATCAAAAGCTATGTCAGAATTTTGAATAGCACATTTGCTAGACTGATGGGTTGTTGGATGAAAAATATAGCTGATTTTTATATTGCCGATTTAATGAATTAAGGAATCAATCAATTGGTAATTTCCAGTCCTAATTAATTGCCTGAACAAAATGTCCGTCATTGACCTCAATACATTTTCTTATTCCTTTATTTAAATATTTTACAATGCGAAATAAAATATTTTCATAGTTTATTATTTATTAACTACGGAGGAATCCTTTTATAAGTCTACGCGCGATGCAATTTCTTCTTTGAAAACCGGATCTTTTAAGTGACGATTTAAGAAACGTCCATTAAGGAAATTTCGATACGTAAAGTACAGTAAACAAGGTCATTATAGCCAGGATCATCGCCAATATTCGGAACGAATAGGCAATTGAAGAAGAAGAACGTACATTGGTCGCTTTAGGAATCAACAGTGAATATAACAATACGATAAGGAGGAATCGAGGACGCCTACGCAGGAATCTGAATGAGAAGAATGAAGAGAGAGAACGCACATGAGAAGAATGAAAAATAAGAAATGCACCATCATGCATAAACTATATCTCTTGCCATATATCTATTGGAAAATCATCTATAAAATCTGGGTAATATTTTTGTTCGTTCGGAAATATCGTACGTAAGTCTATCACTATTTGAAGGAGCAGGCAATTCATAGAGGCCAACAATAAAATGCCTAAAGCGTTGATTGATAGGCAATATTTGAAGAATGAGCCGATTTATCGATAACAAACAGTTATATCTTTTTACTTTACACACAATCACAAACTGCTACTTTGGGAACCATTAAAAAGCTTTGTTGAAAAATAACTAAAGAACAGAAGGTTAATAGCGGTACCTTTAAACTAAGCGTAAATTCGAGTCTGACATCACTAAAATACCACTAATCCAACGTTTTACAAAATTTGAATTGAAATTCTCCAAATTATGGAATAAATTTGATATTCAGATTCATTCATTCAATTTTGGTTCAATAGGAAGACAATAGAGCAATATTTTACTTAGGCATGTTTGGGTAAATCATATTATGTGGACATTTCGAACATGCAGTTATTCTATGACGTATTTATCACCGATTACTCTGTATTCCGAAAAAATGAATTAGAACGTTAAGCGTTAGCAAATAACATTTGACCGAAAGTAATTCAATCGTTTTTAAAGCTGATTATTCACCCTGGTCAATTTAGGCATCATCAGCATTGCGAAAAATCGCAAACGTCTGTACAAAGAAGAATAATCTGTGCTTCGCTTTGCCATTAAATAGATAGCATTGTTTGGAGATTTGAGAGAATCCACTTCGATCCCAAAAGTTGTTGTGGAAATTACATCGTTTGTAAATCTGAAAATGTAATTAATGCAAATTTGCATGTCATCTGTTGTTCAAATGCCGAATGCTTTTTAAAAATACGCTTAAATTTTTACCTCGTAAACGCATCTTTCATGTCTATTTCAATAAGTTTTTCATTTTTGTTTAAAAAGAACTGAACAAAATTTTCAGCCGCCCCGTTCATGTAATGGACCATATTTTTCATTTTGCTGCTCGTAAAGGAACCGCTCAGAGTAGCTCTCATCTCTTTCCATGTATGACCTGAACAACAGCAAAAAAATTACTACATGACAGTTTTGATTTTTCATGGAGCTTAACCTGTCAAAGCAAATAGGTTTCCAGCCCATAATGGATCCACGTCAGCATCTACAAATGTTCGATGATCAGTAAAGTGGTCGAAATCTCTGACAGTAATCTGTTTAAGTAGCTCGGAATCCTTAATAATTAGAGCGGGTATATTAAACTGATAAAAACCAGAATACCTGAAAATATATAATTAGAGTTACGTAGATCTGTGGAAAACGTTCTATATGTAGTAGGATTAATTAATGTTTTACCATTTCCTAAATATCTGAGCTACTACTACTTACCGGGCACCTGGAAACATTTTGTAGTAGAATTCAACACTTTCAAGGGAGTGCATTTGCTGAAACAGATTTCTCCATATGTCTCCAAGAATGGGCCACGGTTTCGTTTGTTTGACTCCCATTTTAGTGAAATGATTCATGGGTTTTAAAAATCGAAACCATATTAACACTGCTAGTGCTATTGATAATATTATCCTCAGCATTGCAAAAGTTTAGCCTGAAAGTATCAAAATATTAAACACTTAAACATGAACCGTAACTCCAAGTGAGCAAAATAATATTTTGTAAGTAATTTTACGCGGAGACTAAATCAGTGTTTGAGAAATCGCCTATACCAGTAGCAATACAAAATTTAAATTAAAAAAACAGATTATCCGCTGAAATTCTGCTTTTTGATGTTGTTTCGGAAATTGGTTTAGTGGACATTTAAAAACCATTTTCCGCGGTTAATTAAGTTTATCTTGTTAGTCGTCGTTTGTGTCTCCCATCAGAGATAAAGTCCAATTTGTTTTTGGACATAACTTTGGACATACCACAAACTTTAGATCAGAAGAAGTCGAAGGAATATAGATAAGTCGCAAACAATTCTGTGATTGAAATATCATTGACTCATTACTGAACGAAATCGTATTGTCATCAAGTTATTATAAAACTATGTGTTTGCAAAAGGGTTATCCATTGTATGCTTGGAAAAGTAAAGTTAAAAACAAACACACAAAATATTCAGATGGAGACGAAAATTTGAATTCAATATAAATATTAGACCTTGCACATTAAACGTGAAAGACAATCCAGTCTATCTATAAATGTTCCGGAATTTCAATTGATTTCAATTTCAAGTCTTCGTTCGATCTGCCAGTAGCGAGAAATCGAAGGGTGGCAATTAGTCGTTCTCAAGGAGGAATCGCTTGTCGCATTACCGTATTTTGTTTTTGTAAATGTTGTCCAACAAGGTTTAATAGAAGGTTAAACGTATTTTCGTCCATTCGTAAATAATTGCGAAAATCATTTGGATCAGTTGCTCGCAGCTCTATCAAAAGGGACATATGACTACACTCGTTTCGTCGTGATAACCAATTCTTAACCCACTTTCTTCTCACTCTTTTCTTGCGTAGATTTTCTGAAACCACTATGATGCCAGCACAAGCAATAGCTATCCGTTTCTTGCTTCGCATTTTGAACACTTAGTTATAACTATTCTGTCTCTGCCACGACCAGATCTTTTAGTTTGGGTTAGTTTGGGTACGCGCCAGATCAAGTCTGTCTGAAACGAAAGATTTCACTCCACTAACGGACGGATCTGATACCTCCAAGCCCACAGGAAGAATCGGCACTCGTGCTTGGTATGTGAGTTAGTGGACAGGAAAAGATTTAATTCGTCCGATCTGGATCTGTCGAATCAAATCTCTATGTATCTGAACTGTACGAATAATCTGCCCGTGTATGAGCCGCTATTATAATTTAAATGTCCTCCACGGGACCTCCTACAGGCCTCAATCCTTTTGAGGTAATTTTGAATGAGTTTTCGGCACATTACCGGTAATATCTCGGTCATAACTTCAGCGATATTGGCTTTCAGTTGCTCAAGAGTTTCACAATTGTTGGCAAAAACACGATATTTCGCATAGTCCCACAAAAGGAAATCTAACGGTGTTAAGTCGCAGTATCTTGCGAGCCAATTGACATCACTCAATCTCGAAATTACGCGTCCTGTCAATTTCTCTTGCAATAGGCCTCTAACTGCCAGTGTTGTGTAACTCGTTGCCCCATCCTCCTGGATCCACATGTCCTCCAGATCATAATCTTCAATTTCTCTCCAAAAATAATCAGTTAACATGCGTCCATAGCGCTCAGAATTGACTCTTATGGCTCTTCCTTGGTCGTTCTAAAAAAAATACGGGCCAATAACACCACCGGACCATAAAGCACAGCATACGGTCACTTTTTCAGGATGCAAAGGTTTTTCTGCGATCACCTCAGGATTTTGAGAGCCCCATATACGGCTGTTTTGCTTATTCACCTAAGCAACGAGCGAAAAATGAGCCTCATCACTGAAGAAAATTCGGTTCGAAAAATCATTATCAAAACAGCTTGTTGATCAATCACCCAATTTGCGTATGTTCTGCGTTGCCCATGGTATTGAGTCTTAAATTCTTGAATCAGTTGCACTTTCTACGGATGGAGCTTCAAATCCAATTGCAAAATTCGCCACAATGAGTCGTAAGACAAGCCCAAATGTTTTGTCTTTTCCCACTGTGTTCGAAATTGTTTGCTTTGTGGGTCGATTATGTCGACAGTAATCTGCTCGTAAAGCCATAAACGTTGATACAGCAGAATCACCATTTTCATAGTAACATTTAATAATTTTTACTCGTTTTTCGACAGTTAAACAATCCATATTAGAGATATCAAATAGCAAGGTTTTACTTTCCCAACCTCGTCACCTCAATAGCTTGACTCTCTACATGAACATCTACATGCAGTAAAAATAATCAGTTTATTTCAAACATTTTAGAGCCAGTTTAATTCGAATGAGCATTTTGCTCAAGCCCGAATACATACTTAAGTACTTACTTTATTTTAAGCAAAACTTAGTCTATTCACTTGTCCTGAAGTCTTCTCAACGGTTAATACAATATCAGGAAGGGTAGAATTTATTATTTTAGTAAAAGCGCAATTACAATGTAATAATTTTTAAAGGTGACCAATATGAACACTGCCTTGTGCAATACATAATTTAATTCTCCGTCGTAGCTGTCTTTCCGGATTGCAACCTTCCATATAATTTTTCACCTTATCAAACGCTGCGTGCATTGTTCCGATAAGTTGTCTCTATAATTAGGCTTGTTAGTCGTTATAATTAGGCTTTCGCATTGAATGATTATTTTCAGTTGTTTTCACATACAAAATTAAACGAATTGTACTCTGGATATTGCGGTGACAAAGCAATGTTAGCAATGGGGTGACCACAGCCATTCAACTATTTGGGTCAGTTTTATGGAGAAAATTAATAACAACTCTTCCAATATTAGCCAGAGGTCCATCATAAATTTATAAAAATGTCGTCATTTATGCAGACATTTGGTGTCTATAACTTTTAACGAAGAAAAACGCTCGGACACTTCAATTTTGTTTTTAAACTGGAAATCGTTTCACCTTTAACCCTTGTTGATTTTCCCATAATCTGAACCTCCTATTCAAGTCGAGGCGGGATATTGCTATCTGATTTCATATATTTTTTCATTGTTTTAAGTGGGAAATACGGTTTAAAACTATTTTTTTCGTATATACAGGGAAACGTATAACGCTTAACCACAAATACTTCAGCCGAAAATAAGACGATCTAAGTAAACTTACTGGGTGTCAATTTGAAAACTTCCTACCCTTAATATCTTTCTTACAATTGAAAATATGAAAAATCGGAAAAACCCGTCAATTTTATTTGCAATGGGGCAACTTTAAGTGAATATTTTTAGCTTTCTTGTTTCAACCCCTTACGAGGGGAAGATGTTCCCCTTAGAATTTTAAATGGGAATTGGACTCACGTGGTGCATCCTTTTAAATGACGTTCAATTCTCCTGAGAGTAGGTTACACCGTTGAAATTGTTGAACCACAAGAATACAATCTAGTTTAAACAATTGATTTCTTATTTATTGATTATTTTACTTCCAGCAAAATAACTTTTTATTTGTGGAAGAGAAATTTCTGCAATAAAACCCATTGGATTTACTTACATATGTGATGTGACCACTTATGCCGACTATTCTTTTAAAATAAGACGTAGTATCGTTTCAGCTATGATCAGCATGATTGAAGTATAAGAGAAGCCACAGCAGAAATGAGCATTTAGTCATTAGATGTTTGGTCAGCAGTCATAAGAATTGAGTCTTAGATATACTTTTGAGATCATCATCGTCCGCAGGTAGTATTTCATAAACAATGGATTTAAGATGTCTCTAGATGATGAGACGTGTATCCTAATATTCGAATAATTTGTTCTATAAGCATTCTATTATATAAGCAGATCCAATGCCATAATTTTTGTGTAAACACTAAACTAAAAACCAAAATCTCAATGTAGGCAAGTTTAATTGCTTCTGCAACTTTTAAATCCGTTTATTTGGAAACCTCTGGACCATATGACCTCCACTTCCATTTAAGACTCTTAGGGTAGATCAATCTAATTCCTCCCAAGGGGTTGATACAAGAAAGGTAAACATTTTAATTTAAAGTGTCCTCATTTCTGCTAACCAGTTGGCAAATTTAGATAAGTGTAAGCAATGAAGATAATAATATTTCGTATTCAACCGATATTTCTTAATAATATATATTTAGTAGATATATAAATTGGTCATGTATTTGTCATGGTTTTGTGTGGCAAGGTGGTGGTTGCCCCACCATTGCCTACCGCAGATTTGATTGGAAGGGACGAAAGATCGATCCAGGATTAGGAAGGTTAACCACGGAAGCTCGCTCCCCAGGTAGCACAACTGATCAATTAGACGTCTGCGAGACGTCCATATTAAGTCATTTTTGGTCAGTACGTCAATTGACTTAGAAAAGACGTCAATACTTGGACGTCTATTAGTCAGATATATATGGACGGCCAATGGACCGCCGAGGGTGGTCATTTTTTAGTCACTAAAATAAGCTTTATTTCAGACGTCCTTATGTTCACTAAATGACGTCTCGTCTTATTTGGAGAAAATTTTTATCTAACTTTAAATGTCTCTTTATAATAATTTTAAATTTTTAGTAATTTATTTTTTAATTGCCTGCCTGTCAGCATTGCATAAGGATGAATCCTGCTCCCACCACTCTATAGTCAGGACACAAAATTCATTTATTTATTATTTCCAAAAGCCAAAGCGAAAGGAATAAACCAGAAAGACCAACATACTTTATTTAATAATATGAAATATAATATTTAAAGATTAGATATATTAGATTAGATAAATTACAATCAACCTCTATGATTAGACAAATTAACAATAATTCTCGTCTGTCCCT